ATATAGGTGACAAACATAACCAACATTCAAAAGAAAAGCATAAAATGTACATTTGGTACTTGGCTTCACAGACTTTCCAATTCACAACCTCAAAACACAAGATTCATCACTTCGATTTGATTTTCTATTTGCAAAGAAGGAAAAAAAAACAAATCTCTCAACATACTGACTCTCACCTGGCAAAGTACCAGCATATTTTTGTTCATCTTGAACAGTAAACCACCTCAAACTGTGAAACCAAACTTCCACATTATCACATGGCAGTGAGCTTTGACAAACAGACAATACTCTCAAGATTCCCTCAACAATCTTAGAACATAGAGTGATGTCAGCTCCTTTGAGAAAAATGTAGTTTTGTTTTTCCACAAGCAACACTTAACTTTTTATAGTGCAGTTGCTCAGAATAATTGCTAAATCAAAAGATTTTTCGTTTTGGCCCAAATACATGGTTGTGGGTTACCAATTAATGTTTTTTCTTAATTCAAGTAGAATGCGTTTACTGCCATTTTTTAAAATTTAAATCACATCTTAGATTTCCAAAAGCATCTTCCTTCCAATAAATGATATTGGTACTTACTGCTATTCTCTATAATTCTCAAAAAGACATGCTATTCAAAAAAGGTACATTGGTGATTTTTAGCATTAGGTACACAAAATTGTAAATTTTAACCACCTGAAATGGACCTGCTCAAAAAAAAATCAGGTTTCTTAAGCAAAACTCAATTTCTGAAATCCATGTTGCTACTTATAATTATTTTCTTCAATATGTAGGTAATTAGAGATTTCATTTTTAATTCAAGATTCCCAAATGCAAATGTTCAACTAATCAGCTTGTGATACTTCCACTAACATTTTTGAAAATGGTCTTATGTTGATCAATCTTCCACCACACATCTGGCTCTCAACATTCGTTAGATAATGCTGAATGTGCAAGGACATCCAAATTAGGGTCATCAGTCGGGCCTGCAGCATGGTGCACTTTTGCTTGTACTGGAAAGTGCACGTACATAAAGCCCTAACCTTGGTAGACAGAAAGAACACGTACACGCACAACAAAAAAGGTCATAGCCACTCACCAATTCATTACTCAGGACAATGCCCTGACTAACCATTATCCTGCCTTGGTTTAAAATTTAAGCAAAGTCTGGCTGCTAACTTTTTTCAAAATAGCTTGTTTGGGAGGGTAGGTAGGACTTGAACCTGGGCTTCCTAGCTAAGAGCTAGGGACACTCCCACTGCACCATAAAAGTTCATCTGGCTCTTAACTGTCAATCAACATTAATGGATGCATTTTCCATGGCAAATGCCTCTGTAAATCAGCACTCTCCCCACATGCAATACACAGTCATTTGTGTTTCCCTTCAATTTGTATTCATGCAAGATGTTCTCTGTTGAGTATGAAATGAAAAGCTTTGACAAAATGTCTTTTTCCAGCAAACCTCAAGTTTTATACCAAAAAAAAATTCTTTATATCATTTTTGGAAATTTGATTTCACTGTACCTAGGCATGTGACAAATTCTGTTTTGCATGCAGTACAGGCAGATCACACCATACAAAGGTCATATGGTGAATGAACAGAATAAGAAATATAAAGTTATGACAGCAAAGAAGATGCACAAAAAGCAAGATCAACGTTAGATTTGAAATTTGAGAGGTCCATTCAGAAGTCTAATGACAGCAGGGAAGAAGCTGTTCTTGAACCTGTTGCTATGGGTGTTTTAGCTTTTGTATCTTCTGCCCGATGGAAAAGGTTGGACAAGCTTATAACCAGGGTGGGAGGGGTCTTTGATGATGTTGCCTGCCTTTCCGAGACAGTGAGAAGTGTAGATGGGAGTAAATGGATGGAAGGCTGCTTGCGTGGTGGACTAAGCTGGGTTCACAACTTTGTAGTTTCTTACTGACCTGGCAGAGCAGTTGCTGTACCAAGCCGTGATGCATCCAGATAGAACGCTTTCTGTAGTGCATCTAAAGAACTTGGCGAGTGTCCTTACGGATATGTCAAATTTCCTTAGTCTGCTGAGGAAGAACAGGCGTTATTGTGCCTTCTTGACCATTGCATTATGGGTGGTCCAGGACAGACTGTTGATCATGACTCCTAGGAACTTGACAGACAACCACCTCCACTTCTGTTGTACTGATAGATAGCTAGAGAGGGGCGTGTCCACTTCCTTGCTTCCTGAAGTCGATGATCAGCTCTTTAATTTTGCTGACATTGAGGAAGAGATTGTTATCTTTACACCACACCACCAAGACCTCTATCTCCTTCCTGTATTCTGTCTCGTCATTGTTCGATATCCGGCCTACAATTGTGGTGTCATGAGCGAACTTGTAAATGGAGTTTGGACAGAATTTGGCCACACAAATTGCACAGAGTACAGTAAAGGGCTTAGTACACAGCCTTGCAGGACACCAGTGTTGAAGAGTGTCGTGGGTGGGGGGGGTACGGGGGCTGTTGCCTATTCTCACTGATTGCAGTCTTGTGGGTCAGGAAGTTGAGGATCCAGTTGCAAAGGGCACAGCACAGCAGAAACCTAGGTCTCGGAGTTTGGAGATTAGTTTGGTTGGGATTATAGTGTTGAAGGTGGAGCTGTAATCAATATGTTGAAACCTGATGTAGATCTAAGATGAGCACTTTTTTTATAATTGAGTTCAGAAAACTGTTGAGTTTAGAAGCAAGTTTAGTTTCTTTCCTAGTAGGGAGATTCAGACCTCTTCAGGGAGCAAACCATCTTAGCAGTAGGGTTAGTTTCTAAAATTTCAAAACCAGGAGAGTTTGAAGGTGATTGTAACTAAGAATATTTAGGCTCTCTGATTTGTGGGGAACAAAAAAGCTTTCCAAATCTGTCTGTGTTAGCACTCTTCAAACTGTTTCCCTAGCCCATCGGATAGAACCTGAAAAGGAGTCAGTTAAGCAGAATCCTCAAGAGTGGAGATATGGGGTATATATTTTTCTGAAGTGGAGTCTCTGTAACAGGTAGCATAGTTTTATGTAATGAACTTCTGTTGTTAAAGAAAATTTGCAGCTTCATGTGAACGTGTCTCAGGTTCAAGTCCCACCCACTCCAGATATATAAAACCCCTAACCACCACATTAACGAAACAAACAAAATCCATCAAATTTCATTCCGGGGTCTGAGTTATCCAGTAGTACTATCAACTGGGATCATAACCACCCTGCTCGATGGAAGGTCAAACCTAAACTTTTTGTTGGAATTGGGCCTGATCAGCAGCAAATCAGACTGACTACAGAAGCAAATCCTCACAGATTCTGTCACTTCCAAGTAAAGCAGCAACTTTTCATTCATTAGTCACCCCCAGACTTCAGACTGAATTTTCCCAGTTGTTTTGGAGGATTTTCACAGCAAACGTAGCCAGTACCCAGAGGTATTTTGAACCATGCTTAACTAGATGTCAATGCCTTTCCCCTTCTAAGCCTATGAAGCTGCTTGTGGAAGGTGACAAATTTTTAGGAGTTCAATTCCTTTCTCTCCAACTACACCTTTCCTATCAAAAGGAGTAGGTAGTTAAACACCAAATTACCATCTGTTATCCATCCCAAATTTTCCTTACGGTATTCAAACTTACGTACTGCCTCAAATAATCAATTTCCCTAATCCAAATTCTCACTGTTCTGCACAATGCCCCATAAACACATTAACTGTGGCTCACCACAGTATGTCAAAGACTAGCGATAATAAATTTAAAGGAGTCAGGAATACTTGCAGCACTCAGTTAAGGTCATTTGTCACTACTCCAATGCCTCCAAGTACTTCCTAGCAACTGAACATTATTCACCACCCATAATTTAAAAAAAAGTAAAAATATGGGAAATATTTAGTAAGTCAAAACAGCATTTGTAAAGAAAATCTAAGTTAATGCTTCAAATCAATGACCCTGCATCTGAACACATTTCTTTAACTTTCAATTACTTATAATCAGTTCACTAAGGTGTATTTTTCATAGTTCCTCAAAACTGTTCCCACACATTAAGATTTAATACAAACCACTTTCAAACATTACAATTACAATGGTCAGAGTCATAACAAAGCACTCATATAACCTTACCTATTTTACCTTCCAAACAACATCATGAGATCCACTAGTAAGTTCTATTGAATTGGTGTGGACTATGTTGCAGGCTCATTCAGTACTTTTTTCCCCTTAATTCATTCACGGGATGAGGGTGTCACTGGCCAGGCAGCATTTAATGCCCATCCCTAATTGCCCAGACAGCAGTTAAAAGTCAACCACATTGCTGTGGGTCCAGAGTCACATGTAGGCCAGACCAGGTAAGGACGGCAGTTTCCTTCCCGAAAGGACATTAGTGAATCAGATGGGTTTTCCCCCACAATCGACAGTGGATTCATGGTCATCATTAGATTCTTAATGCCAGATGCTTATTGAATTCAAATTCCACCATTTGCCCTGGCAGGATTTGAACCCGGGTCCTCAGAACATTATCTGGGTCTCTGGATTAACAGTCCAGCAACAATACCATTAGGATCATGGCCTCCCCTATCTCACTCCAAATTTTTGACACACTCAATAAATCGCTGTGTTCCTCCTACACCCACCATCATCTTCCCATTAATGCATTGCCTTAGATTATCATTTCAATTCTACTGAAGATAGATCACTCCTCTCAAGTTCCTTCTTCATATCTTACTGACCGTTTGGTTGAAGCACCTCATAATTTTCTTCCAGAACTTTAAGGCAAATTGTAAAATTATACTTTAGAGATGAAAGCAGAGTAATCAAAGTGTACCAATTTGTTTTTTTTACAAAAATCTGCCAAAATTGTCATGATACTTGGTCAAAGATAATACACTACTTCACTTTTGCAATCACCATTGAACACTAGTCCTAAAGTATTGGTTACAGCATAAGTAAGTGCATGCTTTTATAAAATTCCATGATAAATATACTCAAACTCACAGAAGATACAATAATCAAATAAAAGCAAAAAAAAACAAAAATTCTTTTGAAACGGTTTACTTACAACCATGATACGATGCAGGCGACCCTCCCGACTTTCCATACTCATGTTCTGAATAGCTTGTGGACAGATTAGGTTGGCTAGACCCACGACCAAAAGTAATTTGATTATTGCTTCCTACTCCTGTGGCTACTTGAGCCATACGCTCTTTTGTCTTAAGTGCCTGGACTCTCTCAGACTTCAGCCGTTCATCATCCTTCAACAAAGTGACAAGTTGCTTTGATTTCTCTCGCACATTTATGCCTTGATCTTTGCCATCTCTATCAATATACTGGAAGTCTTTCAGAGTTTGAATTGCAAATATGTTTTCCTTACACTGTTGTGCAACTCTTTCTGATCCAGTTTTTATCATATAGTCTAACAGTGTAAGAGCTTTGTAAACATGTCGCCAATTTTTGCCATGGTCATTGAGACGTTTCCATATCATACTCATTATTTCAGAGAATGCTACTACATTATACGTTAGGTCTGCAATTTCAGTCATTAAGGAACTAGAAGGTCCCCAAGGGTCATTGGAGGTTGCCTCACGTACTTTAATTTCAGCTTCAGAATAGTTGTTTACAATGTTTTTCATTTGTCTTCTAATAGCTGACGTAGTCATGATGATCCCAGACAAAAGGAAAGCTCGTGGAACAGGCCACCTTTAATAAATGAAACGGATGTTCAAAACAAACAGCTACTGTTGGGAATACCACTCAGAATCTTTGTATTTTTCAATGCTTGTTGAAAAAGATCTTCTGGTAAAATCATTTCCTCTCTTCAAATTGAATGTTCATTTTTGGGCCGATTACCTGTGAAAGGACACAACATTGAATAAGAACATTTATGGTTACAGTATTTAAGATTGTCTTTCAAAAACCTAAATGCATCAACTCAAAATTAAACACAGATTTTCTGCACATATCAAGCAACCACAAGGGTAGAAGCAGGTCATTCAGCCCATCAGACGTGCACCACCATTTAATAAGATAATGGCTGATCTAATCAAGCTCAACTCTTTTCCCATGTTTTTCCTATAACCTTCAATTATTGAAAAAAAACTGTCTATCACAGCCTTCAATATATTTAATCACCAAGCTTCAACAACCCTCTTTACTAAAGAATTCCAGATTCACAACCCTCATGTGTGTCACCTTACTGAGACTGTGTCATCTGGCTCTGCACAAAGGGAAATAACCTTTTCATATCCACCCTATCAAGTCCTCAAAGACTCTTGCATATTTCAAAAAGGTTGCCGCTCGTTCTTCTATATTCCAAAGACTATAGGCCCAATCTAGTAATCCTCTCCTCGTAAGACAGTTGCTCCACAACTGGTATCAGCCTAGTGAACTCTCTGGACTGCCTCCAATGCCAGAGACTTTTCTTCCTTAGATGAGGGACCCAAAACTGTTCACAGCATTCCAGCTACGGTCTGAATAATGCCTTGTATAGTTTCAGCAAACCTCCCTACTTTTATATTCCATCTCCTTTGAAATAAAAGGTCAACATTCCGTTTGCCTTCTCTATTACCTGCCAAAGTTGGATGTTAGTTTTTGATGATTCATAGGCAAGAAGTCTATAATCCCTCTGTTCTGTAGCTTTCTGCAGTCTTTCTCCATTTAATATTCTGATTTCCTATTGTTCCTGCCTAAGTGCAGAACTTCACATTTTCCCATATGATATTCCATCTGCGAAGTTTTTAACCCACTTCCGTAATGTCTACACCCCTCTGCAGACCGTCACCCTAACCACTTGCCTTTCCACCTATGTCATTTGTAAACTCGGCTACAGTATATTCACTTTTCTCATCCAAGTCTTTAATGTATATTCTAAATGGTTGTGGCCCAAGCACTAATCCACAACACTAGTTACAGTCTGCCATCTTCAAATGCATCCCCCATTCCAACTCTATCCTCTACTGATTACCAAAATCCTCTGTCCATGCAACCATACTACCTCCAATATCACAGGCTTCTATCTTATGAAGTAGACTAATGTGTGGTACCCTATCAAGCAACTTCTGAAAAGTCAAATTTCTTACATTCACTGCTTCCCCTTTATTTATCCTGCTGGTTACCTCTTCAAAAGAGCTGCAATAAATTTGTCAAGCATAATTCCTCCTTCATGAAGCCATTCTGGCTCTGCTTGATCAGATTATACATTTTCAAGTGCTCTATTACCAATCTTTATAATAGGCTCCTAATATCTTCTCAATTACAGACATTAAGCTTACTGGCCCGTGGTTACCTGTTTTTGTCTCCTTCCCTTTTAAAATAAAGCTGTTACATTGGTAGTTTTCCAATCTCTGGGACTTTTCCAGAAAAAAAAACGATTCCTACAAGATTCTTATTTGTGTACCCACTATCTCTGTAGCTACTTCCTTTCCTCTCAAATCCAATGGACCTATTGGTCTTTAGCCTCATTAGTCTCCCTAGCACTTTTCCTCAATTGTTGGTTATTATATTTGTTTCTCTCTCATCGTTGTGGCCCCGGAATATTTAGCAATTTTGGAATGCTGTGTCTTCAGCTGTGAAGATTGATGCAAAAAATTCCTCTGCCATTTTTTGGTTCCCCGTTATTTCTCCAGCTTCATTCTCTAAAGGGCCTACATTCACATTGGATTCTCTTTTCCTTATTAAAAGTAGCTTTTGCTATTTGTTTTCATATCATTGCAAGCTTACCCTCAAATTTTTATTTTCTCCTTTCTTGGGATGTCATTTGTTGGTTTTTAAAACTTGCCAAATCCTCTGGCTTACCACGCATCTTTACCAGGTTGTATGTATTTTCTTTTAACGAGATGCTATCCTTAACTTCCTTGATAACCATTGATTTTAGAATCCTTTTTCCTCACGAGATCATGCCTTTGCTACGAGCTAAGAAACATTCACCTTTGAATCTCAAATATGGGCTTGTTGAGCAGAGTCTATACTCTGCCAATTACAAACAACCAAAAGGAACATGCTATTTGATTATCAGCCAATCACTTGGATGCTTGGCCAATGGCTTTGGCTTTCAACAGGCATTGAAAGTGGCCTTTTGGATCAACAGCAGCACCAAGTTAGTGGAAAAATACCACATGTGTAACCAGCGCATAGTAGCAGCATGAAACAGCTGGTTTAACCTGTTCCTCAAATTTTTGAAATACTTCAACAAAAATTACCCTGGAATTAAAATTAAATAGAAGCTCAACCTTTGATATTTGCAACTACAATTTACATATAATATAAAATGGAACATAAGCACACGAGCAACAGCTCTATGTTAAAGATGCTAAATAAATAAAATTAGCGTACCAAGGCACTTCACAGGAGTATAAGAGGGCAGTTAGAGTCAAATACATTACTGAGAGTCTGGAATCATACGTAGGTAAGACTGGGTATGGATAAAGGTTTCCTTTCCTAAAGGACGTGACTGAACCAGGTGCTTTCTTTTAAAGGACAAATTGACAGCAGTTACCTGGTTGTCATTAGGCCAGCTTTTTATTCTGGATTTTTACTGAAGTCATATTTCACCATCATAGTGAGCTTCAAACCCATGTCCCCAGAACAATAGCCTGGGGTCCTGGCTTACTAGTTCAATGACATTACTACTGCATCACTGCCTATGGTTAAGGTCTATGATTCTCCTGAAGAGGAAAATCCCAAACTAAGTTGCATAGCAGGCATTCATATGGATCTCACTACTGGGTAAGGCAGGAAGTAACTAAGTTTAAAGAAATAAAACTCACCAGTGGCTATAGCAAAGTGCAATAAAAATATTCTAGTTCAAAAAAAAACTATTAAATGAAGAAGAATTCTTTACCAAATTCATTTTCCTTATCTCGCTTCCAAAGGAGCAGATTCTGAAAATATATTTTGCTTCCATGGTCTTACCGTTTTTGATTTTAAAATTTTTAAAAAGTTTCTGAAGACTCCAAAAGAGCAAAACTCAATAAACACTGAGATTATAATTGTTATTTTCTTTATTAAAAATTGGTCCAAGATCTTAGAAATCTGTATTTTTCTAGTATAATTTCACTTTTACCTCAATATTCAATTAGAATAAAATATGTAGCAGCTGTTATACGTATTTGCCACAGAATTTTGCTGGTAGTTTTCCAACACTTTAACAGAAGTTTTGTATATCCAACAAGCCATTTGCAACAAAAGGTACAAACGGATAATTAAAAATTCTACCTCCAACATTTTTTAAATAATCCACTTTCATATATTGAATTCAAATACAGTAGCGAATCATATTCCCTGAATACATTACACTTATTACATTAAAAATAACATTTTTATTAAACTGAAGTGTTTCTATCTTTTAGCATTTTTTAAAAAAATGAAAACCATTTCCGACCTACAATAACCTTATTCTGTATTGTCACAGATTTCTATGAATTTAGTGAAGCCAGCCAAATAACTTTTTCATGTTACAATTAAAAACTCTTCCTAATGGTAGAATGCCTGAACTTTACATCTGCAGCTTCATGCTGTAATACAAGTCCCTATGCTCCTACCAGCTGTAATACTTTGATTCACAAATAATAAGCTGTCAATTTACTGATATTTTGTTCAAAATCAAATGGGAACAAAAATATAAAAGGACAAGTTTAAAATGAAGACCAAATGATGTCTTATGCTGTGTTTTGATCGTTGCAGGAAAATTATAACTACTATTGATATCCTGTTGCTATGCTAACATTGAATTCTTTTAAACCAAATCTCAAATTTAGTACTTTTAGTCACAGCCCATATGTAGCATGTATCTGGTGGAAGTATCCCTCCGCACTTTAACCTCCAAAACATTGCATGCTATTCTTCCATTTTCCAGAGGCAGTGCTATAACCTCAGCACATTAGAACAAACAGCTCATTCTGCCAGACGAACTGAACAAGGCCAAAGATCCATTTGTAAGAAAATTTGACAATCCCCTTTAGGTTGACCTCAACTTTAATAAAGCATAATTGTGATATTTTATACCAATTATATTCAATGTTATTACATATAACCATTCAAAAGCACAGGATGCATACAGTAGTTGTGGTTTCCGAACTGAAAAGTAATAAATTTAGCTCAACAAAAATGAATGCAAAAACAGTTTACCCAAAAACTAACCAAATTCAAACTCTAAAGTTCTGATTATGCAGTTCACAGTAAAGCATAAATATACATAATGCATGAAGAACTGTCATAACCTAAGCAGTCTTCACAGTAGAAGATAGAAATAGCATTCCAAAATTACTAAATAATCAAGAAGCAAAAAGGAGAGGAATAGATACAATAGCTATTGTTAGAGGAAATGCATTAGGAAAACTAATGGCATTAATGAGTGGCAAGTCTCCAGAACCCCACGGTATACATCCTACAATATTAAAATTCAATGGCTACATAAACAGTAGTTGCACTGGCAGTAATCTTGCAAGAATCTTTAGATTCTGAAAAAGTCCCACGGTATTGGAAAACTGCCAAGGGAAAGAAACTAAAAAAGGTAACAACAAGCGAATTAGCTTAATGTTTTATTGTAAAATGTTACAGGCTATTTTAAAGGATGTAACAGAGCATTTAGAAATATATTTTATGAACAAGTAGAGTCAGCATGGCTTTATGAAGGGGAAACCATGCTTGAGAAAAGACAAGAATTCTTTGAGGTAACAAACAGGATAAAGGGGAAGCAGTGGATGCAATATTTTTGGTTTATCAAAGGATATTTGGTAAGGTACCAAACATTAGAATACTTAAGATAAGAGCAGCACAATAGGGAAGTCCCAGCATCACCACGAAAACAACAACAGTCAAAATGTAATTAGTAGAAAACATCACTTTAAAAA